CCTCGGCGTCGGCTCGTTGCGTAAAATCGTAGGGAACACAGGTGGCCCTTAAAATGTAATTTCCTAGGGTATTTTTTTCTTTTTTATTTGACCTAAATTTACCTTACAAGATCGAAAGCAAAAATGCAGAGGTATTGCCCCGAAACAGAAGAGAATTCCAATTTAAATTCTCAGTTATGAATTTCATGGCCAGCTGTCTGATCACTGTCCTGTCCCTGCTCTGAAGGTCCGACCTTCACATATGAAAAAAGAATAAGGAAGTAGCCACATATTTCACTTAATCCAATGCTGAAGAGCAAATTATGCCTCCTGTTTTGAAGACTATCTTATCTTCTAAGAGGCCAATATCTTCAAAAATACTGTGAGGTTCACAGAAACTGCTTTGAAGACAGATCTCTTTTAACTTGGGATGTTTGGAATATCAGGGACCTATAAAGATAGAACACTCCCAGGGTAAACTTAGTATTTTATCTAGAGAATAAAAGATACCTGCATCTTCGAAACCACAGCTTCAGAAGATTTTGGACCTCATGTTGCTTGCCTAGTGGCATCACAAGCAAGTTATGCTTCTGAACAAGCTGGTGACTGGTTAGAGATTGATGCTTTTGAAGAAGTCTCAAGTGAATATCTTCATTGTAGAGCAGAAACATACCACTGCCACTGTCTTGCAGCGGTTGTTCCTGGTTGTGTGTTGTGAATTGTTCAAGAATGTTGGCAGGTGAGGGAAGCAGGAAATACCTGGTTTGGGAATCTGAGGGTGACAGGGTATGGAGCAGGGTTTTGGGCACTCCTCTGAAAGGGCAACCTCACCTCCTGATGAAGAGCATCTGCCTTCCGGAGAGACTTGAAGCGTTGCATCCCTGAAATGTTTTGGTAGTGATACACTGTTTTTAGACATAGATGGTGAGCAGTCCGACTGAGGGATAAGTGCCCATCTTTCCCACAGATTCTTCATCTATAAAATGTGTTGGACTGCCTTATGGTGCGTAATTGTAAGTTTTCACCTAAGATGACTAGCAAACTATATGTGATCATAAGGCCTACATATTTCTGCATCCAACTGTTTTCTGCAACACTGCAAGGAAGAAGCCCAGGTGTTTCTTTCATCCAAAGCATTGCTTTTTTTTTTTTAAGTTACTCAAATCATCTAAATCAGTGTGCATGAAATGATCCAATGGGGTGCAGGAAGAAAATATTAGAACTTTAGTAATGTATGTATGTAACTGATAAAAAAAATGTATACTAAGGATGTTTTCTCAACAATATTTCAATAGGAATGCATGATCAAAAAAGTTTGGAGACGACCGATTTAAATTATGTCAGTTGTGGGGTTGGGTTTTTTGTTTGTTGGTTTGGTTTTGTTTGGTTTTTGGTTTTGTGCGTGTGGGTTTTTTTGTTTTGTTTGTTGGGTTTTTTTGGGGGGGGGGAGAGTGCGTTTATGCAACGGAAGGATTGACTATTTACTTTATTCAGCCATGCATCTTCCTCTTAATTATTTTCCTGAGAAAATTGCTGTACTGATGGTGTGTATCCACTTCTCTTGATAGTCTTAATTTTTTGTGTTTTCTTTTTGCTACAGTAGTCACTCAGACTGCAGTGAGTTTCTGCCCAATCTAGTATTTTATTTTATATATCTGACAAGCAAAACATTTCCTTAATTTGCCTTGTTGGATTTCTCTGTATTTTTGAGTATCTCCTAGGCAAAGACCAAGCTGTACTTGTGGTATGATATGACCACACATCCTGATACAGAAAGCCTGAAACATGACTGGTTCTCAGTCCTGGAGGATCAAACATGTTTTAATTTTTCCCACAAGAGATGAGTATTTGCAGGTGGACATTGTGGCTGTAGTGTTGATAGATAAAGAGGTCAGAGGAGTGAGGTAGGCAGAGAAGCTGCAGTATGAAAGCAGGTGAATCTGCAGCACCTGTTTGTTCAATACAGGTGTGTACTGTCCCAGTTCACATA